CTGTAGCTTCAAATGAAGAAAGCTCTTAGTATCATTAGAATAATGATAGAAAAAATATCGTCCATCAGGATATCTTTTTCATCGACTGTAGGGGTCATATTGAAAACACAATCAGTAAAAGTTTCTAAAGAAAAGTTTACCCACAACTCGAACCAATGGTCTAGTTAAAAAGTTGGGATTGTAAATTTGTACTTGTCAAACTAAAACTGATCTAAATAAAACAAGATATTTATTATGGTTACTCTTAGAGAGTATCACATAGCAATCGCATTGACTTGCAATCAGATGACCCAAATACAATTTTAGTTTCAACTGATATCAGCGTTTAGAAAATTATTACTGCCAAAATCACATGAATTAAGAAGTTGTTATGGAATCGGTGTTTAATTTTAGTTCTTGTTTCCTTGACGAATGTATAAATTTTACTATAAATAAACACACATCGAAGTTGCAAAACAATATAAACTAAGTGTTTGGCAATTGGATAATTCACCCCAATAGGAAGTAATACATTAAACTATATTAACATGTTTAACACAAATTAGACCTGTTAAAGAAACATTTCTCTTAGCAGTTGTAAACCGCGAAACATTAGTAGAAGGTCCTCATCATCATCATAAAGTCATCAGTTCTAAGACTGGTTGGACACGTACCTCCACTCTTTCCTATCCTGAGCTAAATTTCGCATTTCCCTTAAACTAGAACAGCCCACATCCTTAACTATTTGCGAACAGTAATCTAATCTAGGTCTACCTCTACCCCTCCTGTTCTCCTGTTTCTGCCTCTAATATGTCTCTGACTAGACCTTCATGCCTGAGAAGGTGTCCTACCAACCTATCTCGCCTATTTTTTNAGGGGTAGAGGTAGACCTAGATTAGATTACTGTTCGCAAATAGTTAAGGATGTGGGCTGTTCTAGTTTTAGGGAAATGCGAAGTTTAGCTCAAGATAGGAAAGAGTGGAGGTACGTGTCCAACCAGTCTTAGGACTTATGATGATGATGATGATGATAATAATAATGAAATATATTAAGCAATTAGTAAAAGCAACAAACTCCTAAATGTTAGTACAAGTGCCTGTTAGTCCGCGAGGGGCATTTTACCCCTTATCCGGTTAATGATAACCGAAAACTTCCCTATCCGCCACCCGGGAAAGCGCCCGATGGGGATTGCAGGTTCCCCGCACGGGAAAAACTTTACTTACGCTGGTCAATGCTGCAAAAAATTGTGTATATGTATTTTCACCGTTGTATTTAATAATTTGACTACTGAAATGTACCTAACTGATAAAATACATCGAGCTCAAAAAGAATGAACGAAAAATGAAGTGAGCCAAAGCAAGCGACATACATGTACTGAAAAGAATTATGGAACTAATAAAAGAACTCAAAAATCCACCTCAGATATAGAGGAACTTTGGTTTGCTTAACGAAACTGGTAAATTAAATAATAAAATATTCCTGGTGTAGAGGCTCGTAGTGAATAAGTCAGTTACATATATAATCTCTGAATCATACACTAATGTTTTTTAACACTATATATGATCAATTAAAAAATTACACAACAATTAATAAAGGTGATACCTACATTGTGATAGAAATACCAATCAATTTATCAACTTGCTGCTCCTGTTTGCATATCCTTAGGAAATTGTACGAGAAAATCTGCTACAACACATGTTAACGTATTATATTACTTAATATACTCTTCTTGGAGTTGATCCTCTTATTAAAACACATGTCGCTGACATCCCTATTCCTTTCTTTAAATAAATCCGTACAGGATAATTCTGGACCTGTAATCATAACAAGACGGACATCCTGATGAAAAATAAATAAAGTAACTCAAAACTAGTTGTTAAAGATCAATTGAAGAACTTAACTAGAAATAGAAACTTCAAAATTCCTCTTAAAAAACACGTCACTACCACTTCACTCCCCGCCCGCCCCCGATCGCAAACCGTACCTAAAAATGAAATTGTTTAACTTATGAATATCAATGCAACAATTATTATCATCCCAATCTCCCAATTGATTGTGGTACGTCACATCTTGGTTCCTTCAAGCTAGTCCTTGGCAAAGGTACGAACTGTAGTCATAAAACAATTGGCAGACTTAGTCGAAATCAATAACTAAAGACTCGCATGAGTGTATACGTACTGTTTAATATCTTCTTACTATATGTATATATATATGTTTGATAATCCTCTTCCGTGAAATCATTACACTTAATCACTACACTTAACCCCCACCAACCCCCACCGCGGCCCAAGCGATGCCCAAATAGATCAAAATACATATACATATATACAAGAAAACAACATTTAGCAAGTATAATACACAAGGGGGTGAACGGCAAGCACCGCAACACCAAAAAGTAAAAAAGCATGCATCCTACTATTTATCGGCGATCCTCTTGATCCGATGAGGCGATCCAGTCCGCTGGGGTAGAAATCCTATACGTGACCTAACTCTCTCCCTCTCTCAGCAACAATCAAACATTCAACATCATTACAATAGAAAAACGTAAACTTCGCAAAATCGGCAGATCCTATCGATGTTTTCCTTTAGCATTCTCTATGATAATATCAACACCAAACCTAAAATCCTTTACCCCAGACTTCTTGTACCTATTCCTTATATATTACTCAAACACCCCACAATATAATCACCTTCATAGGGTCGTCAAAGACTAATTGGACACACCTCTACTATTTCCTATCCTAAGCTAATGTTCGCATTTCCCTAAAACTAGAACATCCTACATCCTTAACTATGTATTTGTGAACAGTAGTCTAATTTAGGTCTACCTCTACTCCTCTTAACACCTGTTTCTGCTTCTAATATGTCTTTAATTAACCCCTCATGCCTATCTCTCATTGATTTCCATGGAGCCCTCCGTTCACCTGCTATTTCTAACACCTCCTCATCTCTAATCTCTACGCTATCCTCTTTATCCATCTGTAGTACCATATTTCGAATGATTCTAACGTTTTCGCTTACAGAGCCGTTCTCGAGACATACATTTTTAACAATCTTTACAACAATAACGCGTACCATAATGTTTTATTCATCAAGCACACGAATCATTTACAACTTAATCACCTCAACGCTAAACATATACGACCTAATCAAATGAAGTTACATATACAGTTGGCGGGTTCTTCTCGAAGGGAATTCACCACCACGGTGTCTTTCGAAGACTTCCCTCTTCCAAGAAACCAAAAAGAAAATCCTGTAACTCACTTACTGACTACTACAGTATTGACACAGAGAATATACCTTGATGGTACTTACCATTGATCTATGAACATAATAAATACACAAAATAGTATTATACTTGCTAAACATTGAATAGGCGAAGTGCCAAGGTTTTTCAATTTGTAAAGGAACAAATTTTTCAACCCTGTCACCTTGTCTATTGGGAAATATGAAAATGACTTACCATTTGTTGGACGCTACCTGGAAAAAGATAAAAAAAGGGAATTATTATTAAAATTGACGATCTCGTTCGTCATTGTGGTCGACCAGGATAATAAATAATTTCCAAACTAGTACAGAAGCCAGAAAATTTTCAATAACAACCGTAAATCCGTGTTTAGTGTGGAAATTGTTCGTGATTTTGCGATCGACCACAATCAATCAATAACAAATCAACTAAAATGTTTGAAATGAACTAACAATTTCCAATCTATCGTGAAAAGTCAGAAAATTATTAAAAAGAAAATTTAATTTAATATATTTAACGATTTAAATTAGCATGTAATCATTAAAAAATATCACAAAATGGAAATGCCTACCTAAAAAGTTAAAAAGGATTACCTCACTAAAAATATTTAAATCCAATAAAAAATGCTTATTAATGATTAGCAATCATACAGAGTGAAAAATTATCGAAAACAAAAAATACAATTGAAATACTAAACAAAAAAAAAACAATTGTTTAAATAAAGGAAGAAAATGATTGATAATAATTACTTACCACCACCGCCGTTTTTATGTTGCCCTAATCCTCTTAATAAAACATAATCCTCCTTACGAAACACTCCCGAAAATTTGGAAAACACCATAGCACAGGTTAATTAAAGGATATAAAAACGAACGAGCATGGACTTGCAAGGAAACTCGAAAAGCGAGCCACGGCATCGCGACGCGTCGCAACGCACACTCTATTCCGAAAGCATGGTCACGATTAACTGAAGAAAAGCTTACACGTATAGTAGTATATCGTCCTTTACTAGGCAAAAAAAACTGTGTTCTATACCATCCTGAGCACACCAAGCTTTCATAAGAATGTACCATTTCATATTTAGTACTTACAGACCGTCACACAAGAAATATGTATGTTGAAACAAAAGCTAGAACAATTGCTACAAACTTAAACCCATTCGATTATTTACACATATACAATTGTTTTTAAACAAAAGAAAGAACATCATTCCTAGATCGTTGTACAATTTATCAACATGTTGTTTGTGTAATTTGTTGCTAAATTTATGACACAAATACTGCCAATTTAGAACTAAAATTTAAAATTCTAATTTTCTTTTATGTACTTGTAGATACTTTTACTTAAAATTTCGTACTATACCAAATAGTTTTCAAATGATTGCAAAAAGTGTAATTTCATTTTCTGGACATAACCTATCATTATATGAGTGGTGAAGTGCAAAACAAAACAAAAGAAAATAATAGTCGAGTTATTAAGTAGCTGTTTTAGAAGCTTAGTCCGGATTTGGGATAAATTAGAGTAAATTATTAACAAACGGCTACAGCGACAAGCAATTGTTTAATAATTACTTTGGTTATTTCATTTTTATCAATACAAAAAAAATGAAGTAAATATCGGCTGGGGTAGTCTTCGTTTTTATAATAGTTAATGTGCACAAAACAATTTATTTCTAAATATCACAGATAACACATTTTGTTATTAATAATAATTAAAGAAATGTAATCAACTTTACATTAATTAAGACAAACGTTTAACCGAAGCATTTCCACGAACCACACCAGCTTTCTAAACACCCTGTAAATAAATTTCAACGAAAACAAAAGACGTCACTAGTAGTAGATTGAAGCAATTTTTTTCGCTACCACTATTGTCAGCTCTAACTGCAAAAGAAACAAGAAACAAAACGCTAACAAAATCTAAAAACACCATTTTTACAATAAACAAAAAAACAAACATCAATGACAGGGCACACTTCACTTTTTTTAGAGCGACCAAATAAACAAAAAACCATCAGGTTGAAAATAAGACACACCACAAAACCAAAAATTGTACAATGGATATGTACACTTTGCGTTAGTTTTATTTTATTTGTTCGGTGCAATAACGCTCAGACGTGACAGATTGTATATTGATATCCAATGAAATAAAAAATTATTTGTTTTAGTCGAAAAGAGTTATATTCTAATGTAACTTCAAATGTGCACACCAATGTAGCAAATGTATATTCTAATGTAACAAAATGTATATTCTAATGTAACAAAGTGTACATTCTAATGTCAGAAATTGTACTTTCCAATACGAGTAAACGTACATTCTAATGTACATTTGACTTTGCTTCGCCCTTGAAGCCGACTATTTTGTTTGTTGCAATAATCCTTTACGTTAGAAAATATCTTGCATTTTATTATAATACGTAAAAATTAATCTCAATGATACACATTAGTAAAAAGTAAGAAATACGAAAATCGTATACAGTTATATTTATATCAATAAACAATTTGTAAAATCTTCTTTCTAATTAAATATATAATTAGATTTTCATCATGTAAAACAAAATAGAATGTTTTTCAATTATTACTTGTAAAATATAGCAGATAATTGTAAGAATTGAGAAATGTATTAAGTTAGAAGAACATTCGGGAAAATTCTTTGCTGATCTGTATTTTTGATAAAAATACACGTCTATACATTTTCTTTCGTTATTAAGCTAATTTTCACTAGAGACAGGTCTCATATGTAAAGTAGTTAGTTCAATATTTTGAGATAATACATGAAATGACGATAAACTGCAATATTTTTCAACTCATCATGAAAAACAACTTTTCCTGTAATCAAAAGCTCAAAGTTTGTGGATGAAATATTGTGGAAATATGTAGTTATTTGTTTATAATTGTTTTGAAAATGATTCGTGTATTTTCTTTTCTGTTTAAGTATTTAGAAACGAAAGGTACGATATCTAATAATTTTAAACGCTTTTTTAAAGTTTTAGAGTTTTAGGGGATGTATTATAATACACATGTGCAAAAACAATAAAATATTACATGTACGGTAAATGATAATGATGAAGATGAGTGTTAGGTTAGGTTAGAATAGCGCAGAATCGAATCGTTTTTATGAAAAATAAGTCACTTCTGTGTTCGCCAACAGTTAATTTAGAAATTCGAAAAGGTTATTGTGTGATTTAGTGCCCGTGCGGATACGGTCGAAAATAAAAAGTTGAAGCTGATGTTAGTAGCAGAGTCTGAGAATACGGCGGATAGCATGGGTAAGTAAAGAGGATGTATTAGAAAGAATCTGGCGAAAAATAACCATTCTAAAAACATCGTACAAGT